CATAAACATCTAATTCTAGTTTCAATATTATCTTCCTTAATTTTAATCGAATTTCACGTCTGATTTTTTTATTCAACTCATAAGAGTACAGCCCATGATATATAGAGAAATTGTTTCATGAATTTCTCATAATTAATGAGAATATTTAATGATACTGTGTAAATTCATTACCACAGTATATGTAAAATTACATCAAAATATTTAAGATTACAGAGCCAGCTGATTTTGAGCTATTGAGATGCAATTTTCACATATATTGTAGGTAATGAAGCTGAGAAGCTGAGTATTCAACTCAGTTTTAATAAAAAAAATGACCACAGTCGTAAGATAGAGAAAATAGCGCATTAGCGAAGCGTGATTTGTGTAGTAATATTCAAAGTTTCTCTCTCTGATGATCGAGCATTTGACAACGCTTGTGTGCGCACTTCATTGAAACTTTCTAACGATGTTAATAATCATATTGATTTTCCTCCCTGAAACAAAAATAAAACGTAGCGATTAAAGATGATGTCAACATTAAGTAAAAGTTTTCTGCAATAAATAAAAATAATTACAGAATGAGAAAAAAAGTGGGTTTATGATCATTAAATGCTTATAGATTTGAATGTATGAGTTATAAAGAGAAGCGTATAAAATCTGTTGTTTGTAACGCTGCGTTTTTTAAGGATTGACTGGCAGTAACTTTAGCGATCAGTTTCAACTTTAAAATTTAGAAATTCAGCTTTTTATACTCAGCTTTCGATGGAGAATCAGAACAAAATAGTTTTGAAATTTCTGAAAAATAATGAATATGAAAAATTTGCTTGTTTTCAAAAAACGGGTATTTTAAAATTTTTCCACCGAAAAGTGAGTTCTTAAAACGTGGGATTGTGTTTTTCTGATGCAACTCGGTGAGCTCTGTACAACCATGCCAGAAAAAGAGAAAAAAAATTTCCTTCTGTAACTTTGAATTACCGGCATCTTAGTCAAACAACATTCATTAATTGTAGTTGTTGTGGAAAACAACTATACTTTAATCATTCTTTTATTGAATACCTTGTTCATTAATATTACAACTAGGGATGTGCGATAACCGGGAAATCCGTTTACCGTTACCGCGGTAAATTTCGTACGGTAAGAACTCTTTTACCGTTGTCTCGTTTCAATAAATGTTGTTTGCTTATGTTTGTGTTTCTAAATGTTCTTCAGACAAATGAATAAAAGTAATCTGAGTCATGAACAACACTTCAAATTTCGACGCTACATATTCTTTTTCTATTCTAAAATATCGTCTATTAGAATTAATTAAAGTTTGTCTTTCAGGAACATACTATAGCTAAACCCATTAGCTTTGAGATTGACATGATTCTGCATTAAGCGTCCAGATATACTAAACGCTCACCCTCACCCTCACCTAAACGCAGAATGCATGAATTTATATCACCGCATGGTCAGAATTAGAAGGGAATAAAGAAATAAAACAAAATAAAAGACTTAAGTTCGAAGTTCGGTAAAAAATACTTTACCGAAGAAAAATTCGGTAAAAAGTATTTACCGGACCTTCGGTAAAAATTTTTTACCGTTACCGCCGTAATCTCGTTTTTCGGTAAATTCATCGTATCGTTACCGCGGTATAAAGGCTTTTACCGTTACCGACGGTACATTACCGGTTACCGCACACCCTTAATTACAACTTTCAGTCGGCTATGAATGCCATTAGCTTTCTCTTGCTACCATCTTCAATGTCAAATACTACGGTCTATGAGAATTTCCTGAATGCGACGCCACAATGTTCGGTCTGAAAATCGAAACCGGTGCATACCTAAGTTTATCTGAATCCGACCATTTACTACCAAAATATTTCAGAATAATGTTAAATTCAGTATTTGTATATTGATAATTTTGCTAACAAGGTCTAAGAGTGTCGATGCAGGTTTCATAACCATTCATTTCAGTAAATAAATCTTTATCTACAGTGGCAGTCATAACATAGGAAGAGCAAGATATACATTTCCTACTGTTATTCCTGAATTGAGACATTTTAAATTTTCATCGATTTCATATGAAAAATATGCTTGACTATTAAACGTGTCTAAGTTAAACTGAATTATATCAGAGAAAAATAGTTCTTTCTTTCCAATCGAATGGTTACGAAAGAATTACTTTTCAATTTAATTTAATTGGACTATCACTCGTCATGTCTGATTCAGTTACTAAATATTGAGATAGTCTAACTAAAGTTCCAAAGTGTTCAACCTGACTTAGACGATAATCTTTAACCCTTTGGGTACCATTGCTCGCCCATGATAGCTAGGGACTTCTAATTTTGTGTGATCACAACTCTTACCGAATGCTGATCACCCACCAAGTTTGGGGTACTAGGTGGTTCGTGAGATGTAAGCGTTTGATTTCTTTTTCGTAAAATGCTAATAACTCCTGATCCAAGAGAGGCGAAAGCTTTTCCTTTATCAAAATGCAGCACTGCCTCTTCTCTATCTATGGTATGACTTTGAAGTGTTAGCTCTTAATAGTTACTGGAATACAGCTATTTTATGATCGAGAGTCACTTTTGAAGTTTGAGATTCTCTTCCGAAAAAATTCAAAACTCAGCCTAGGAATATTATTTTCACTTCAAAACGGCACTAGATACCCTAAAACGTCTTTAGATTATTCACACAAAGTATGAGAGTTAACTATTGTAGGATTCGAGATATTCATTGAAAATGAGCACCCGCTATTGAAACATACATAGGGGCGTCCAAAACTGCTTTGCAATTGTTTTCATAGATTGTCGATCAGAAAAACGATGAGAAATTTATTGGAAATGTGAATTTCAAAAAACTGTTTATGTCATGCACGTCTTCATACAGATTTCAATAACATGATCAGAAAAATGGTTGGTGAACACGAAAATCATGCTAAAAAAATATGAATTATTTAACAAACTTTTGCATAGTTTGGAGAAAAACTCTCACCCAGCACTTTATGCTTAGTTACAAGCTATTGGACATTTATTTCCTTTATAAATATTTATTTTATTTTTCAATGTGTGAATTTGTATGATTGCGTGACGCATCTTGTTTCAAATTGTCATGAAATCCCTCCCCGTCAGAAATTATCTCCGACACCGTACATCCGATCTTTACGAACCTTTCAATAAATGTTTGGCTTAATGAGTTACAGGAATGAAAAAATTTTTTCGAGTCCGCACGTATTCTACAAGATGGTAAAATTATACATGTCAGCGTAGGATCACTATCGTATTAGTTCTCGTAAATACGACTTTTATGCATTTACACGCAGAATTTGGCAGAATTCTGGTCATCGTACAAGTAAACACAGCCAACACTTCCGCACTTCATGTGAGCGATATGTCTTACATGCATACGCAAGATTATCGCACGTGAATTTTTACAAGAAAAAGAGTTGTGCGTGATTCTGCATGTTTTACTTGAAAACTTTAAAAGTTGTATTTGTATACATTGTTTTCCACGCGCAGGTCTGTACCACTGCCTTGCATCTATATGCAATAATTGGAAACAACTTGCATGTTCGTGCATGAAATACGACTACTTCAAAGATATTTTGCAAGTAAACACTAGTTTCTCAAAATTTTCTGCAATTACGGGCATTTTTTAAACTTTTGCGATTGACTGGATAGAATGAGACTAAGTTTATTTGAGTGACTGGAAATAGAAATCAGTATTTGATTGTCAGTTTCGTTGTTATTTTGAATTATTCAGTTGCTACTCAGTTTCAGTTTGATATTTATCAGAAAATATGACTCTACAAGATTTAACCCGTTTTTAAATGGGAGTTTTGGCTGTTAACACTGGCTTTTTCTGAATTTTTACATGTTTTTAATATGATTTGCTATCTTGACAAATGACTTTTAAAATACATAATAAGAATTTGATGTCTTATCATCTTGTTTCTCAGAACACCCTGATTGCACTTTATAATCTTTAGAAAACTATTTGAATCAATATAACAGCAGGCAAAAAACACGCACAGATGGTTTTCTTCTCACATTGTCTTTCGTCTCCCGTATATATCCTTATGCCCAGTATTTTTATCATTTATTTCGTTTATGTGTTATATTGCTCTATGATGATGATAATATGTTTTATCTTTCTTCTGCTTGCTACGCCCATCGCTTCGCAGACCACCAATGGTCAAACTCGAGTTTTGTATGAAGCATTCGATCCTCCATCGCTCAACACTAGTATTTGGAATTATGGATATCCATGGGGATCTTATTATAATCATCGAGCCAATACTACTCCTCGTCAAGCTAAAATTACACAAGATGGTTTCTTAAATATTACAGCGACAAGAGAACGATCGATCTCACTTGGTTTACAGACTGAATTTGGTCCAATTGATCTTGATTTTACTTCAGGTGCTGTGAATACAAATGGAAAATTGTGTATTAAAAATGGCTTTGTAGACATCAGCTTACGTGCAGCTGAAACCCCAAGCACATGGCCGTCAGTGTTTCTTGTGCCTGAAGATCAAGGTACAGTGCCGATGCTTACTATCATGGAAGTATTTGATTCAAGATCACGTTATTCTTACGGATTTAAATATACAAATGATCAAGGTGAAGTACAAGAGGAAAACGGAATCGCCGACGAAAGACAAACAAGCGATGGTATTCATCGTTATGGATTAGATTGGGGTTATGATCAAATTACATGGTATTATGACAATAAATGGGTTAGTACAATTACAAAATCGAATGAGTTACGTCAAGTTGGTAATATGTGTCTGGTAATCGCATTGGGTGTCGGAGGTAAATCAAAAGGGACTGCAGTCGATCCTAAAGCTTATCCATCAATTATGAGTATTGATCTGCTCGAAGTATGGCAACCAAAATATGATGGATTCTATAAGTTTCAGAATGTTCAAACTGGACTCTTAATGGAAATTGACAGTGCATTACACGACTGGGGAACTAGAGTTTTGCAATGGGAGGATAATGGAGGCGACTGGCAGGTAAATATGAAAGATTTTTAACCAATTTCAATAAGATTTTGTTTTGAAAAAACTATTGATCCCTACTTTTTCGGAGATCTTTCAAATTTTTTCATAGTTCGGATTTGAATAGATTGAGTGAAAATGGTATTGGTCCGCTCATCGACAATTAACTAATTCTTTTCGATGAAAGATAGTTCGAGTCTGAATCTATTGTTTTTCGTGTCTTTATAGAAATGGCATGTCCAGTATGCAGGTCATGGTCAGTATCGTCTAATCGCGGCTCACAGTCGCCTAGGTTTAGATGCTGATGCCTGGGGTGTATCTGATGGAACTAAATTACTTCAGTGGTCTTATCACAGTGGTAACAACCAACTTTGGAAAATACAAATAGTTGATGACAGTTCTTCAGATGTAGTAGTACAACTTATCAACATTTTTACATTAACTAACTCGGATGTAGGCAAAATGATTTCAGTTCCAGCTGATGATACCTCACCTGGTGTACAATTACATTTATGGCATGATTTGAATAGTGATCTTCAAAAATGGAGAATGATTCGACTGTGAATATAAGAAGAGTGAAAGATTGATTTTGTAATGTTAAAATCGAAATACAGAATATGTTAAATGAAAATATAAGATTTCTATTGCAAATAATTATACACGCAATTACACTTGATTTAACACTTGGTACTATTCTGTTATGGTCTGATAGTAGACCTCGATGGGTCCGAGTCTAACAATCTTGCATCCGACGGTCTGTCTTATGGTCTATTCTCTTGTGTCGATAACTATCAGCATGAAAGGGAAAAATCGAGTAAAGAACAGTTTGAACTGATTAGAAACTGACTAAACGACGTCAGCAACCATGTGTCGTTTGTACTGTGAGCTCGTTTCGAACTTGACTGCACCCAACTCGAAGAGAATAAAATTGAAATAACTAGTCGAATTGAGTTACTTGAAACCAAGTGACAAGAATGATATTTAATATTAGTACCTATAGTATATTTTCGCCTTATACAAGATTCTGTTGATTTCTGACAGCAGTGTTGTATCGAAAAATCTCATTTTTGATGGGAGACAAGTCGAATTTCGCTGTTTTTGGTCATTTCTGACTTAATCACATACTACAGAATAGATTAGTGTCCAAAGTTTGCTCAAGGCAAGGATTTCCGAAGATCTCAGATTCGCGTATCGAGCCACTTCTTTTCACGGATAGTAGGTAACAAGATCATTAGCTTACCTCAGACGAATCAAATACAGACTCAGGTGATGTCTCAGGTTGGAAATCCAGTAAATCCGTTGAAAATCTTCAAGAAACCGAGATTTCCGGAAATCCTTGCCTTGAGCAAACTTTGGACACTAATCTATTCCGTAGTATATGATTAAGTCAGAAATGACCGAAAACAGCGAAATTCGACTTGTCTGCCATCAAAAATGAGATTTTTCGATACAACACTGCTGTCGGAAATCAACAGAAGGCGAAAGTATAGACAAACTTCGTCGCTTTGGAAAAAGATTATCACCAGTGTATCGCCCAGACATTTTTATCGGCTCTGCTCGTGTTCAGTAGATCCAGATCCCATTTTGATTTTCAAAAATGCTCAGTTCTACGGCTTGTCCAAACGTAACGCTGTTTGACACACTTTTTTTCAATCATCTCGGAAAGTTTAAGAGCTAGAAAGTTCATTCAAACACCATCCGATGCAGCTCATCATACTCTATTTAAGGAAGTTTTAAAACGAGGCTATAAAAACGAAGTTTGTGGGTTGTAGTCTCGAGCTTCTAGAAAGATTTTTTCATCGCGTAACGCTCCTACATAACAAGACCCTAAATTCGTAGTTACTAAAGTTTCCTAAAGTTCTAATTTCCTGCGAAATTCGTTCGCCAAATGAAATGCCCCTGGAACAACTTTTATAAAGCATTGAACGAGCTTTTCAGCGGTAAAATAATTGTTCTTCCAACTATTTTTACTTGCGTAAAAAAAGTAAAAAGTAAACGTAATGCTGTTACATATTTTTTTGTCATACCAGTTTGGGGCGCTCAGCGTAGTTCAAACAACTTCATACTTATAGCTTGTGTAATTCTAGCCTTCCTGAAGATACTCCACTTGCAAATAAAGTTCCAAAAGTTGCCTCAGGCTTTTAAATCAAGTCGGAAGTTCAAACTTGCAAGCGGCTCTTGTGCCTCGACTCAGAAATATTTCTCAAAACAAAATTAGCCATTTTGTAGAGAATTGAATTCTCTATTCGACAGTATATTTTTAAATATTTTTACGAAAATCTCTAGTCAGAAAATTAAAATTAAAGTTTTCAAAAATTTTAAATTGAGATTTTTTAATTGAAAATTCAATATTTTTGAAAATAAAGGCCGAATTCGTGGTCAGCATGAAAAACTACGTCTGGTGATGAGCTCCTATCGATTTCGCGATGAAAAAAGTAAAAACAAAACTGTATTAGCGAAGTGTCGCGTTACATGGACAAGCTGTCTAGAGAAAGAAGTTTCTTGCAAAATCATTGTCATATTTTAAATTAGCATTAAACAGTCAGTTGAATGGTATATACTTCGGGATGTTTGGGCGATTTTGTGCTTTCAGTTTTTGATTTTCACAATTAGTCAGATTTCAAATGATTACCCTGATGAGTTCTCAGAAAAATGTTTTTACTTAGTCGAAACTTTAGCAAACTTTGAAACGTGCTACATCATAGAAATCACACTTCATGAACCTATTTTATGAACTGATGTGTCGACAGTAGTTGTGAATAGCTTGTAACACAAACGTCAATTTGTTGAGCAAAAGTCATTTTTCCTTTGATTTGATAGATTCTGGTTCACAGAATGATGGCTACCTGGAGTTTCTTCCTTTGATTTGTGTATGGTTGGCGTCACTCGTTTTTCAGCATCATTCAGACGCAGTTCCTTCTTTAGTTTTCCAAAATCATTTGCACGTTCGTTTCAGTTCGTTTCATGCCGAATACGTTCGTACTGGTATACGAGACTATGAACATCTTTCGATAACGTCTGAAAGCGCATGCATCTAAATGACCTGCAATTTCTGCGAAATATGTCAACAAAATTGATACTTGTGTTATTATTATCTATTTCCTGGATCTATACTACATCAACCCCAGCTTTTCAACCCGAAACTAGGGATTTACAGATTCTTTTGATAGACTTTTACATTTTAACGTACATCACGCATAAACAAAGGTGACTTCGAAAAACTAGCATCGCCACCAGCAGTGTGATGGATTACGATACTTCGACTCTACCGTGAACTACAGTTTCTGCGATTACTATTAACAAATATCATGTCTCTAAGCATTTTATCAGGTGACCTGCTCTCACAAATTGTATCTGTTCTCGTCGATGGATGTCATGAAACCTTTCTTGATGTACATAAAAAGGAATATTTCGACCAGGATTGCAGTTCCTGTTAGAGTCCTGTCAGGGTGGGTTACATATGTTTCAGCTGTTCTTGACGTACTGGATAATCAGATTTTTTTCCCATATAAAACCAATACTAATCCGTTGTTGATAAAGTCAATAACTTCACAAGCAAATGTCTACATACTTAATGGAGCTTTACTATTCATAAATATTAATTTGTCCTTCTAAATATGTTTTACACTTTCCACTTATTAACACTCTGTCACCAAAATTTTCACAATAAAGTTTTCCAACTCTTTTTGAAACTTGTAAGGCAATCATTTCCGTTTTATTTAATCGTTTACTCCAGTATGGAATTAATGAACAATGTGCCGAACCTGTGACAGGATCTTCGAGTATACTTGATTGAGGTGTAAAAAATCTTGAAACAAAATCAATTCCATTATTTTCTTTATTTGCCTTAGCAGTAACAATAATTCCACCTGTTCCAAGATTAATTTCATTCAATATTTGTTGATTAGGTGTGATATTTCTCACTGTATCCTCATTATCATACAGTAAAACATAATCTCTCGATTTCAATGTCTCAATTGGTTTTATTCCAATTCCATTTAGAATAATTTCAGGTAATTCAACTTCTACAGGCATTCGTGATGGAAAATCAAGAATAATTAAATCATTTTGTTTTTCAACAATAAGTTGTCCACTGTTCGAATTAAATATAATTTTGTTTGTGTTCAATTGAAAATGATTGAATATGACATGAGCTGTTGCTAATGTAGCATGACCGCATAAATCCATTTCAATTTCGGGTGTAAACCATTTTATATCAAAATGATTATCTGGTGAATCAGCACGTGAAACAAAAAATGCTGTTTCAGGAAGAAAATTTTCAGCCGCTATGTTTTGTAATAATTCATTATTTAACCATTTATCTAATCGACATACAGCTGCTGGATTACCACCAAATAATTTATCTGTAAAGGCATCCACCTGATATAGTTTAATTGTTTTTATCTGTTCCATCTGTTAACAATGAAATCGTATGCTGTTAACAATGTAAAATCGTTGTGCTAAATTGTTTAACTACAAACTGTCATCTTAGTTTTTCTAGAAAATATAACATAAATTAGAAATTTATGCTCAACTTATTTGCATTTGCAGAAGTAACAACCAAGTGCGATTATTACATTAATTGAGGGTATGTATGCACAATCACAAACGTTTCATTTATCAAGGAACCAAGAATGTAAAGAAGACCTCTTATTGATAATGTAGCATTCTCTAGAGTAGAAAGCCACCTAATATTCTAAGGCTAGTTGAAGTGGAATTGTTCGCTCTATAAAGTAAGTTTTTCAAGAAAAATATTTGATGTGTGAAGTCATAGTAGAATGCAAATAAAAGCCGCATCGAAAGTAGCGACTTTAGACGATACGTCTACATGTTCTTTCATGACTGGTCTGAACGAGTTGAGTGACATACGTTCGAGCAGTGTTCTACGTAATTTCATCCTCGCTTTATGTAAAATGGCTTATAAACAGTGGTATATTTAGGATGAAACAATAGTAATGTATGAAAACAATCTCTTTTTTGTTATAAAGATATTACCTGAACAGTAAGACCAAACTTTTTCAAGTTGAGGCTAAATCCAAGCGTTGCTAGATAAAAGTAGCAATAATGTTACGCGTGTTTGTTATTAATGGGTTTATCCATCTATTGTGATTCTAAGCAGAGCCAGTTTTCGCTAAAATATGTGCGATCAACGGTATAGTAGTGATACTTTATAGCAGTGCGGCTCCGTCCGATAGCAGTCGAGCAATAAGCCAACAAATCATTTTTTTCTTTTTAACACATAAGTTATATAGAGTTAATCATTTTACTTACATATAGTGCATGTCAATGTTATGCAGTGTGTTGCAGTGTTCTTAATACTCTTTCGCTGTTATCAAAACACCTCTGGTTTATCAGCTGAAGGATATTTTACAGGTAGATGTTTTTCGCTAAAAGAATAATAACATCGAGACCTCGGGAAATCTCGAGTTTTTCAGGACAGAAGTTGAACTTCTTGTGGAGAAACATCGAGTTCTTCAGGAAAAAAGATGAAGTACCTGTGGAGAAACCTCGAGCTGTTCAAGAAACAAGTTGAACACCACTCGTATACACCACTCGACTTTTTTTGTTATAGTTCTTTAGATTTTCTTTAAGATTTTCCAGTTCTTACTGACATTATTTGGCTAAGAAAAAAATTAATTACTTAAAAAATGATGCTAAATTTTTGAGAACACGACTACTATTAAAAAATTTCCTGGCTGTTCCTCTTTCATCATAAAAATTTGGTTCTCACCTAGATCGATAGAGAAATGTGCGGAGAATATTTACTACGGAGAAAGTTGTTCAGATTGTCTATGGGATGTTTCTATGAGATCACATTTTGCCGAAGAGTGTATGGACTTTAAGGTAAAAGTCCATATGGACTTTGAAGGTAAAAGTTGAATTTCTCGGTCAAACTTCATCCTGGAACAATGAACACTTTTTTCTGTATACAACTTGATGTCCTCTATCTGATGATGCAATAAACAAGTCTTCATTTTAAAATTTAAAGATTTTATTTAAATTTCGAGCTTTGGGAAGAATCCTGCAAAACACTTCAAAAATTTTGTTTTCAAAATTATAAGTCATCATTAAACGATAGAATTGTGAATTATCGTCAACACAAGTGATTTCCCGACGAACGAAATGTCTTATTCGTAGTCAGTATACTGGAACTCGGATATTAATATTGATAGTTGGGCATGCACTGGTTATTTCGGTTATTGTTGGTTATCCAATGAGAGCTGACCAATAACCGACATTAATTAGACCTGTAACCAATCATAACTGGTAGGTTTTGGATATAAATTACCTATTCTTTAAGTGCACTCCGATAACTGAATAACCGATCGGATATTTTAGGTTATTTTTAACCGAAAAACGCCAACCAGCAGTTCAGGCAATGATTTCTGGGCAGTATGACAGTTACTGATATCTCCTCGTAAACTGTATTAATACCTATAAAGTCAAATATTACTGTTAAAAAAATTGTGAATATCCGAGCTGGTCTAAAAGTTTGTGTCTGACAGACCTATCTTTCCCATAGTTTGTAAACTGTTCGCAAATCACTCAGTCATATTGTGGAACTGATTTGAGAGAATCTAGCGAAAACAAACACAGACAGCAGAGTCTAAGTATTTTATTTGAAAAGTGCTTAGACTATAACGATCATTTCCTGTGCAAAATTCATTTGAGGAGTCGCTGTTGTCTGTATTTGGTTTAGCCAAATTCTCTGTATACTAGCTCCGCAGCATGCTCACGAAAACAATTTTATATAAAAGAATGGTCAAGAACGCATTTCCGAAAAAATGGAATGGTTTTATCGACTAAGAACGCGTTCTGAGTATAAAAGAACAACTCGGAACTCGTTAGAACGCATTCCTAGTACAGACGAACTCATTTCTCGTCATTCTCATCCGCAGCTACCATCTCTTCTAGCTCTGATGAGACCATCTAGCGTGTCACCTTCCTTCCTCGGCGGTCAGCGACAACAATAAAGCCCGCATGGACCTTTATATATAAAGGTCCATATATTGTAATATATAAAGACAAATATGGAAAAACAAGCTGGTAAAAAGAATACGCAAAACTGTGGTCTCGCACTCAGTTTTAATAAAAGTAAGTTACAAGTCTCAAAACAATATTGAATCTTCGAACATCATACTAAAAACTATATTAGTCACCTCAAAACTTGATTAGAATGAGATTACCGTTAGGATATCGAACGAATGTCTAGAACCACTTTACCATTAAATATAAACAAGAAATTTAACTTATAAGGAATAAGCGCGATGTAGCCTAATAATAACTCGTTGGACTCCTGATCATAAGGTCTCTAGGTGGAATCTAGGACAAAGCAAAGAAAAACGCTCCCGAATGCGTTCCGCTACTAAAAGAACGCGTTACTTGAGAATGGAGACTGAGCTAGGAGAGGAACGCGCTCAGAGACGGGAAGGATCGACAGAGAGTTGGGAAGAGCCGAACGATAAAGTTTTTATCTACCAATTAACAGGAACGCATCCTGAAGACGCTTTTAGCTTTCTTTTGGAACGCGTTTTTATTGTCTAAGAACGATGTTTTTCGCAACGCGTTCCTGGCAGAGAGGAACACGTTTTCCTTTGTAAAAAAACGCATTCTTTCAGGAGGAAAACGAGTTTCAAAAGAACGCTAAAAGCGTCTTTAGGACGCGTTCTATTTTTTCAAGAATGCGTTCTGGGCCGTTTTTTCTTCTAAACTGTTTTCATGGGTGGGTGAGCGACATGTGAATAGTTTCATTTTTTCCAAAATCTGTTTCCAAACACACGATTTTATCGGTCGATGAAAAATACTGTTGATACAAGAGAAAAAGCGTCGATTACAAAAAGAATTTATCTTTATTTCTTCACCTGTTTTATTGCAACTCCGATGTTTCTTTTCTACGCTTTAAATAAAAAGAGTAGGAAAGCTCTGTAAATCCGATCTAAAAGCAATTTCTTGTCGACCAATCTGAATAGTCTTTATCGAAACCCTTTACCGAAAGTATCAGTTCTACCTGTGATTTTATAGCAAAATCTTATTTTAAAAAGATGGGAAAATTTTGCAAAATTTCGGTGGTTTTTACAAGAAATCCATCAATTAACGATCTTTTTTCAGACGCACAGTGGGCATTTCCTCATAGAGCAGGCGGCATTTTTTGCCGACATAGTTTTCTTGAATCCAAAAGCACTTTTTTATAGGTTTTCGCATACGGTATTTCCAGCAGTGTGGCAAAGGTGAGTCGTGG